CCAACAACTCAGAGCTGAGCTTCCTGCTGCTCTTCTCCCTGACTCTGTGTTTCCTGTGCTCTCTGACCTTCATCGGCCGACCGTCTCACTGGTCCTGCATGCTGCGACACACGGCCTTTGGCATCACCTTTGTTCTCTGCATCTCCTGCGTCCTGGGGAAAACCATCGTGGTGCTGATGGCTTTTAGGGCCACACTTCCAGGCAGTAATGTCATGAAATGGTTTGGACCAGTTCAACAGAGACTCAGTGTTCTGGCTTTTACTCTCATACAGGTTTTAATCTGCGTTCTGTGGCTCACCATCAACCCTCCGTTTCCCTTCAAGAACATGGAACACTACAAGGAGAAGATCATTCTGGAATGTGCTCTGGGTTCCCCCGTGGGCTTCTGGGCTGTGTTAGGATACATCGGACTCTTGGCCATGTTGTGTTTTGTACTTGCATTTTTAGGCAGAAATCTACCAGATAATTTCAACGAGGCCAAATTCATCACCTTCAGTATGTTGATCTTCTGTGCAGTGTGGATCACCTTCATCCCAGCATACGTCAGCTCTCCGGGGAAGTTCACCGTGGCTGTGGAGATCTTTGCCATTTTAGCCTCCAGTTATGGACTCTTATTCTGCATTTTTATCCCCAAGTGCTACATCATCTTGATGAAACCCGAAAACAATACAAAAAAGCATTTGATGGGGAAAATAATGTCAAGAGGCCTTTGATAAAAATGCGTTTAACTAGAACTAGAATGTGTATAATGTTACTAAGATACATTTCACAGTTTCAGATAATACATTTAAATGAATGCAAGTGAACCACAAAAAAAAATCATATTGTGTTTAAATGCCTTAAATGAATTTAATTGTACTACTTTATTGAAATCCTATATATAAGAACAAATAAATGGTTTTGGTGTCAAAGTGTTATTTGTTTTGATGTGGTTAGGGTGTAGATATTTAAGTATGTATAATATAAATATAATATTTTGTGTATGTGTACTGTGCAAAAAGAAAATTTTAAAAATCAAATTAAGTTTTTTATTGTTGCACAACAACTGTGTTAAATAAAAATATAAGAAAAAGGTAAATACAACTCAAAGTTAACAAGATCATTCTATAAAAGAAGAACAAGAAAAGGCTAAGATTTTGCATTCATAATGTATATACAATATATAGTCATACTGTATTGTATTGTATCCTGGGTTCCTCCCACCATCATCTCACTCCACCAGTGCTGTTCCACTGTGACGAAAGTTCACCCTTCAAAGGGATGACTAAATCAATGCATAAATACAAGTGCCAGCATTTGAATGCAACACCAGTAACTCTGGGTTACAATGACTTTGTCAAGACAAAGGTGGTCAGGTTTTCAGCTGCTGGTGCTTCTGAGTCAGGCATCGGTGTTTGCCTCTTTGTCTGAGCGTCAGCTCTGTCAGCACAGAGGAGACCCCGAGAATCCACAGATCTTCAAGGACGGAGACATTGTGTTGGGGGGAATCTTCTCTTTCCACAGCAGCTGGAAAAACAGACAGGAAAACTACACACACAAGCCACAGCCACTGGAATGCACCAGGTAAATAACACTGCTGTGATTTAACATGGTGTGTATCATATCATATCACATCATATAATTAGATTAGTATTACAAGGGTGTCAGCAGATGACTGGGTTAAACAATTATTAATAATACAAAAGTACTAATATATAGCTATATACAATATAGTATAACTGTACTTTGTGTTTTTATGTAAAATTTTCTTTCACCTTTGACCTGTAAAAAAGTAACTCAATATAATATAATGTAATAATTTGTAAAACAAACAAACAAAAAACAACAACAAAAAAAACCTTTCTTGTTTTTTTCCACAAGAAACAAAAAGTGAATCAGTATTCAAGCATCAGCGTCATACAGTATCTAATTTATTTGGCTTTTTTAAATGTTTGTGTTTAATACATTTATTTTTAAATAAACCTGAGAGCAAACAACTTAATATCAGCCCAAACTGAAATGGACTGACTCAACATACTGTATAACTGTGACTTAGTTAGTTATTACTTGATGGTAATGATGTACAAATCTTATCTTTCTCTTATACATAAAGCTTGAATTTCAGAGAATTCCAGTTTGCTCAGGCAATGCTCTTTGCCATAGAGGAGATCAATAACTCCACCGATATCTTGCCTGGTGTGTCTCTTGGCTACAAGATGTATGACACCTGTGGCTCCATGGCCCAAAGTGTAAGGGTCGCACTGGCTTTGGCAAATGGGAACGAAATGACATCTGTTTCCTCTGATGGACCGTGCAGCCGACATGCACAGGTGCAGGCCATTATGGGGGAAACGTCCTCCTCTCCCTCCATGGCCATTGCCACTGTCATTGGGCCTTTCTATGTTCCACTGGTGGGTTTCTTCTACAGTGTGTTTGAGTTCATTTTTAATCTGTATTGTAATGCTGCAGCTAATGCCATTAGCGACCATACAAGGAGTTATTCGTCATACTTCAGGGACCAGTACTGGCTACTGATAAACAAGACAAGCAACATAAACTATGTGTGTCCCAGTATAGAAACTAGCACAAACTACTACCAGTAACCAGAACTGATTATTTTAGCCACTATTTCCAGACACAAATGAACCTAAGGTAATCAGAAGATCTTTGTATATATTTGGTTGTGGTGGTATCACATTCTGAAACCCGCTGTTAACATTAGTCTGTGAATGGACTTCTGCTTATGATAAAACTCAGCAAATCAAACTAAGCAAAACTTCCTATAGTTCCTAAAAAAGCGTTCCTGGTAAAATTTTTACATGATATTATGCTGTTTAAATCTGACTTTGTCTTTAATACACCTCAAGTCCACAGGCTGTATTATATATTATCAACATTTTTATACTAGGAGAGAGTTTGTTTTCTGTTTCAGATCAGCCACTTTGCCACCTGTGCTTGTCTAAGTGACAAAACCAAGTACCCGTCCTTTCTCAGAACTATACCCAGTGACTACTATCAGAGCAGAGCCCTGGCTCAGCTGGTAAAACACTTTGGCTGGACGTGGGTAGGAGCAATAAGGACCAATGATGACTATGGAAATAATGGCATGGCTACATTCACAGAAACAGCCCAGGAGCTGGGCATCTGTCTGGAGTATTCAGTACCATTCTTCAGGACTGACCCGCCGGACAAAATACAGAAGATCATTGACATCATCAAAGCCTCCACCTCCAGGGTGATCGTGGCCTTCCTGTCCCACATGGACATGGATGTGCTCATCCATGAATTGTCGGGCCATAACTTGACAGGGTATCAGTGGGTGGGCAGTGAGAGCTGGATCTTTGATTCCCAAACTGCAGAAGGCGACAAGCACCACATCCTAGATGGCGCCATAGGGCTCTCTATTCCCAGAGCACATGTGGGCGGCATGAGGGAATTTATCCTGGACGTGAAGCCACTCAGTTCAATTAGTGCTGACCTGTTTAAGGAGTTCTGGGAGATGTTATTCAGCTGCAAATTCAACACAACAACAAAGACCCAGACAGAATGTTCAGGTCATGAGGACGTGACAAATGTCCAGAACAGTTTCACTGACATGTCACTAATGCCAATTTTCAACAATGTCTACAAAGCGGTGTACGCTGCGGCTCACGCACTGCATAATATACTTGGCTGTAATGGAACCTGCAACAGGAAGATGAGGTTAGATCCATTTACAGTAAGTGTTTTTAATTAATATATTAAATTAAATATATGAACAATACAAAAGCTATTTAAAATGTAATATTTAATATATGAACAATACTTCAAGGCAAAAGCTAAGAAATGATGATTCAAAATTCTTTGTAATTTATCACAAGACATGCTGATTCAAAATTCTTTGTAATTTATCACGTAGATTTTAGAGCACATAAAAAAGATTCACTTCGTAACAAAGGAAGGAGATGAGGTTTACTTTAATGAGAATGGAGATCCTGCAGCAAAGTATGAAATCATCAACTGGCAGCCGACCAAATCTGGCACAGTAGAGTTTGTCACTATTGGCCTTCATGATGCTTCTTTACCTCCAGACAGACGTCTTAACTTGCTGAACAAATCTTTAGTTTGGACCGAAAACTCAAATCTGGTAAGCTGCTCTACAGACACATGACAGACATAAGAGGTATAAGGCTAATCTGTTACTTCTGTCCATGCAGGTGCCAACATCTGTGTGCAGTGAGAAATGTCCTGTAGGAACTCGCAAAGTTCTCCAGAAAGGAAAACCTGTCTGCTGTTTCGACTGTGTCCGATGCACAGAGGGAGAAATCAGCAACACCACAGGTACAAAGACATTTCATTTACATACACATATGTATTAGCACAGTAATACTTTATGTAATAACTGTAGCCACCAACAGGACATTAGTTCTTGGCCAAAAATGCTGGGTCCAAATCCCTATGCGGACTATGACCTGTGGTAAAGGGACAAACCACGAGATGAAACACAATTAAATTTCTCTGTCCAATTTCAATGGCCATGTTGTATTTCTAACCAGTGTTTTGTCTGTTTTAACAGACTCAGTCTACTGTGTCCGCTGTCCTCCTGAATTCTGGTCCAATGACAGAAGGGATGAGTGTGTGAAGAAGGAAGCAGAGTTTTTGTCCTATGAAGAAGCCATGGGAGCACTGCTTGCTGCATCATCTCTGTTTGGATCGTGCTTGACCGCCGCTGTGGCGCTGTTTTTCTTCAGACACAGGAAAACTCCCATCGTCAGAGCCAACAACTCAGAGCTGAGCTTCCTGCTGCTCTTCTCTCTGACTCTGTGTTTCCTGTGCTCTCTGAGCTTCATCGGCCAGCCGTCAGACTGGTCCTGCATGCTGCGACACACTGCTTTTGGGATCACTTTTGTCCTCTGCATCTCCTGTGTGCTTGGAAAAACAATGGTGGTGCTGATGGCTTTCAGGGCCACACTTCCAGGAAGTGAAGTCATGAAGTGGTTTGGTCCGACACAACAGAGACTTAGCGTTTTTGCTGTCACGCTAATACAAGTTATCATATGTATACTGTGGTTGACCATTTCTCCACCTTTTCCCTTCAAGAATTTTAAACAAGTCAAAGACAAAATCATTTTGGAGTGTGCGCTGGGCTCTGCTGTAGGTTTTTGGATTGTACTTGGATATATTGGAATTCTGGCCATTTTATGTTTCGTTCTAGCTTTTCTGGCTCGTAAATTACCCGATAACTTCAACGAAGCCAAATTTATCACATTCAGCATGCTAATCTTCTGCACAGTCTGGATAACATTCATCCCAGCATATGTCAGCTCCCCAGGAAAGTTTAGTGTTGCCGTAGAAATATTTGCTATTTTAGCCTCCAGCTTTGGACTGCTATTTTGCATTTTTATCCCAAAATGCTACATAATCCTATTGAAACCAGAGAAGAACACAAAAAAGAACATGATGGGAAAGGCAACACTGAATTATTAGCAGAATATTAGCCAGACTTTGGACATATTTAAACTAAAGTGTCCATTTAACCTAATACTTGGTGGACCACGGAAATATTTCATATACCGGTAACCTTTCTTTAAAAATAAACCCCATTATTGTCCTTTTGTTAGCATACTGTGTGAGAATGTCGACAGTCAATGCAAAGAGATTGTCTGTAGAAATTGAATTTTGCATATAAATACAAAAGATGTACAAGCCCCTCAACATGGGATTTATACAAGTTAACAAAATGCGAATCGTGTTTAGAGACAAATAAACGATAAAAAACACAACACAAGATATCTTGATAATTTTACAAGTTAGTCCACGATCGAAATAAAATGTCTTTAGCTCAGTGGGAAAATAAAATTGTGTTTTTCACTCGTTAGCTTCGTCTCCTGAGGCTTCAACTTGAGCCCCTCCTTGTTGTTGGACTAAACATAAAGCTCCTCCAGCAGCTGTGATCACCCTGGTCACACTGGCCTCCATGTTAGCAGAGCCATGCCTTTACTCAGGCTGTTCTTTGTGCTTCTGCTGGCTGTGGATGGGCAGAGTGAGTGCCAACTACGAGGTTCACCACAAACCCCTGAGATGGCTCGGGAGGGTGACCTCATTATCGGGGGCATATTTTCATTTCGCACACGGCAGGACTACATGATTGACACATTTCAGTCTATTCCGGATGCGCGGTCGTGTCTCCAGTATGTAACTATTTTGGTTTAAATTATGACTGTGTTATGGGTTTGAGAGTGAAACCCGCTCCCTGACCTTTCTCCTGCTGTTTCAGATTCAACTTCAGAGAATTCAAATTTGCTCAGACTATGATATTTGCCATAAAAGAAATCAATAACAACCCTGATATTCTGCCCGGTGTGAGGGTGGGCTACAGGATTTATGATGAGTGTGGAGTCATGGATATAATGAGAGCTGCACTGAGTCTTGTGAGTGGAGAAGATGACAACTGCACAAACGTACACACGGCACAGGCCATTTTAGGACACTCGGGATCAACACCAACGATTGCATTTCAAAGGGTTGTCGGAAGGTTTCATATACCTGTGGTAAGTATAACAGGATGTAAAAAAAGTGGCTGAAGAAGAATTTCTATGGTCTGCTCTGAAGGTTGAAGTTCTTGGTTTTTCCCTTTGTTCATATTGTGTTTTCTCAGATTACTGTGCTCAGATGCAAATGTCTTTTTGTGATGGTAAATACATTATCTATCAGCGTTTCAAAAACTAAGTGCAGTTACCCGTGACAAAGCTCTGTTCTTCTGCAGAAGTTGTTGAGCTTTTTGACTGACACGATGATTCCCAAGTAAGAAAAGTAGATTCTGATGTTCCATTTCTCTGAAGCTGTCAAGTGTTTTGAGATCCTGGATAATGTAAATCCAGAAAATACAAAGCGGTTTTCAATCTTCAAACATCTGCCCCCCAGTTTTTTTCTATCGGATGTTTGGTTGAATTCAGGGATAATAATGTCCTGAAGTAGTGGCAATGTCTGATATTGGATTTTCAAAATGGTCATCATGTAGTAAAGGCTACCATTAACGTTCTTAGTAGAATAAAAAGAAACTCCAACTGCTTCATTTTTCAAACCCGGGTTCAGGACCCACAGTGACCAAAGAGACTCTTGTGGTGGCATATACGTTTTTCCCAGGTGGTGGCGATATTGTGTTATATATTGTTTGTTGTTGTTGTTTGAGCCGCTCACTGTGAAGAGCAATACACGGCAGTGTATGTGTATTAGTTAGTTAAAACATTGTGAAACAGCATAAACAGAAGAACTACAAAAATGTCTGTCTACACAATTGAATACAATGCCTTCCTGTTTAATTATGATTTAAGAACTAAAGAAAAAAATTGTCACCCAAACTTTAAAAAAATTAACTCATGAAATATTGATTGAATAAATAATGATGTCAGTTTATAAGTAGAGGGAATTTTTTTACATATATATTTACACAAAAACCTTCACCTGAGGATAGTTCAGGGGGAACATGAAATGTTTTTGGTTAATTAGAAAATAGTTTATATTTTTTATATTTTATATGTTCTTTCCTTCTATACTACCTGCTGTATTTTGAACATGGCAAATATAAACATATCAGCATATGAACCTGTGTATTATTTGAATAGCCTGAAGATGAATACAAAATATCACTGTATATTAATGCATTTTATAAAGCCCAGTTTAACAAAAACACAACTTGTACACCCGACTGTAGGCGATCCACATTGTGATAGATGAATGACACTGTCCACGAAAAAATAATCAGTTTGTTTAAATCTGTCTTTTAAATCTGCATTAATATTATAACTGACTTTAGTATAAGTATAATCTATTTTTGTAAAAGATTAATATAGATTTAAATGTTGTCTCGTTGCAGATAAGTCATTTTGCCACCTGTGCCTGTCTGAGCAACAGAGCTGAGTTTCCTACCTTCTTCAGAACTATTCCTAGTGACTACTATCAGAGCAGAGCTCTGGCCAAACTGGTCAAATTCTACGGCTGGACCTGGATCGGAGTTGTGGCCGTCGACAACGACTACGGCCGCAGTGGCATATCTACATTTATCCAAGCCGCTGAAGAATACAAAGTCTGTGTTGAGTACTTAGAGTACTTCTCGTCCTCACATCCACCCGGGGTGCTGAAGGCAGTGGTGAACGTCATAAAGCAGGCCACGTCTAGGGTCATCGTGGCATTCGTGTCTCACAGGGAAATCGTGATGCTGGCAGAAGAGCTGTACAGAGAGCAGGTGACCGGGCTGCAGTGGGTGGGCAGTGATGCCTGGCTCACAGACCACTCCTTGACTGACAGTTATGGACACAGCATTCTGGAGGGCTCACTGGGATTTGTTGTCCCCGAAGGTGAGATCCCAGGGCTGGACAACCACCTGAGGAGCCTCCACCCAACACACTTTCCTCACAGTCAGTTTGTCAGGGACTTCTGGGAGAACGTGTTCAACTGTTCATTGAACCGAACCGCAAACACGGAGACAAAGCCATGTACCGGCTCAGAAAGCCTAAAACATGTCAACTCACAATTCACTGATGTGTCTGAACTGAGATTCACGTACAATGTGTACAAGTCTGTGTATGCAGTGGCCCATGCTCTCAACAACCTGATTAGATGTGAGAAAGGTGGAGGAGCCTTCACCACTGCAACGTGTGTGGATGTCAAACAAATCCAGCCTTGGCAGGTGAGAAAACAACTGATCAACGACTACTCAATAACAGTTACATTAAAATGGCAGCAGCAGTTAGTAGGGTTTTTTAAGACCAAACAATTGTTAGTTTTTATTCTGAGCATACATTGTGGTTCCATGCAGTTATCATGTCTGCCATACACATCTGCCCTACACACAGAAGGTTCTGGGTTCACACCCCAGAGGAGCCACATACTTAATAGTGCCTCCTGTGGCGGCCTGTGTTGGTTTTAAAGACTCACACTCTGAATTTCCCCAGTGTGGGATGAATAAAGGAAATTTTTATTTTTTACATGGGAATTCTAATTAAATCTAAGAACCCTTGGTGTTTGTCCTATTTTCACCAGGTCTTTGGCTTAGTAATAATAAGGTAAAGTCAACAAGTGAAAAAAAATGGTAAAGAAAATCCTAAAATATAGCCAGCAAATACTTCAGCAAACTAGCTTAAAATACTATAGTTACTAATTAATAATTTATTGAAATTCCTTTAAAATCCATTGAAGAGAAATAAGAGCCTCTAGTCTAATCATTTATTTTCTAAGGACATGGCCACAGTCTGATCATTTCCTACCTGTAGGTGGTGAAGTACCTCAGCAGTGTCAATTTCACAACCAGTAGAGGGGAACATGTTTATTTTGACACTAACGGAGACCCCCCACCGAGGTACGACCTCATCAATTTACAAAGGACAAACAAGGGGACGATGGTTGGGGTAAGAGTGGGCATGTACGATGCTTCTCTTCCCGAGACTCGTCAGCTGATCATGAACCAGGTCCCAGTGATCTGGGGAAATGGACAAACCAGTGAGGTAACGCGAAACTGTTGGACTTAAATTATCTTAGAATTTCAAGTACAAATTGACATCCCCGCACTCCCCCTGTAATTGTAGGAAGCCGTGCCAGTGTCTGTGTGCAGTCAGAGTTGTGTCCCAGGAACTCGCAAAGTTCTTCAAAAAGGAAAACCAGTCTGCTGCTATGACTGTGTCCTCTGTCCAGCAGGAGAGATCAGTAACATCACAGGTAAAGACTGTAGAACACAGGATTAGAACCAAGAGTTGTATGTTTTCACTCAACATAAAATGTTCCAGTCATTAACCCGCTGTTCATCACCTGAATGGATAAAATGGGTCCTTGGTGAAAGAAAAAACTTGAAAAAATGAGTCAATACAAAAAAATATGAGGATGTTTATATAAATATACATATATATGTAAAATGCCTATAGTGGCCGAGATCTAATCACCACAATAGACCACAAACCAACAATTTGACAAATGGGCCAGACTATGATGAGTGCTTTGCTGCTGATAAAACCTGGTTTATCAAATCTCCCTAAACATTCTAAAAGAAAAAAAACAAAAGAAAAGATTTGTTTGTTTAATTGTTGTTATTTGTTACTTCTTTTCCCAGATTCTCTGGACTGTTTAAAATGTCCACTGGAATCCTGGTCCAATGACAGAAGAGACCTCTGTGTTCCCAAAACAGTGGAATATCTGTCATACCATGAACTCCTGGGAGCACTTCTGGTTTTATTTTCGTTACTTGGCGTTTTTTTAACCATGATTGTGACACTGGTCTTTTACTGCCACAAAGAAACTCCACTGGTACGATCCAACAACTCAGAGCTGAGCTTCCTGCTGCTCTTCTCCCTGACTCTGTGTTTCCTGTGCTCTCTGACCTTCATCGGCCGACCGTCTCACTGGTCCTGCATGCTGCGACACACGGCCTTTGGCATCACCTTTGTCCTCTGCATCTCCTGCGTCTTAGGGAAAACCATTGTGGTGCTGATGGCTTTCAGGGCCACATTTCCGGGCAGTAATGTCATGAAATGGTTTGGTCCGACTCAGCAGAAGCTTACAGTCACAGCCATCACTCTAACGCAGGTTTTAATCTGCATTCTCTGGCTCACCATCAAACCTCCTTTCCCCTTCAGGAACACGCTGGTGTTCAAAGACAGGATCATCCTGCAGTGTGCTCTGGGCTCAGCTCTTGGTTTCTGGGCTGTGCTGGGATACATTGGGCTTTTGGCTTTACTCTGTTTTCTTCTGGCGTTTTTAGGTCGCAAGTTGCCTGATAATTTTAACGAAGCCAAATTAATCACCTTCAGCATGCTGATCTTCTGTGCAGTGTGGATCACCTTTATCCCAGCATATCTCAGCTCTCCAGGAAAATTCACCGTGGCTGTGGAGACGTTTGCTATTTTAGCCTCCAGTTATGGACTCTTATTCTGTATTTTTCTTCCAAAATGTTTTATAATCCTATTTAGGCCTGAACAGAATACCAAGAAATGCATCATGGGTAAAACTTCAAATAATAATGACATACGTTATTGAAAAACCTCAAATATTTATTACTGGGTTTTTTTTTAACGGAATAAAAGCTAACATCTGAATTAAACTTTTTAATTCTTCAAAAAATAAATATTCAATAAATATGTTTTGTCATGAGAGTTTGTCTTCAACATGCTAATTCTTTGATAATAGAAACAAAGTCCAAGGGAAATTCAGGGACTTATTGACCCATAAAAGGATTTAAGGGACCGTCAACACACGACAAACTGTAGTAGAGGCAATAACAAAGGCAGTATCAACAATGAAAGTTTTCTTCAAGCGCCTAATCCTTTCTGGCTAGCCAGCAAAGTATAAGCTAATACCAGCAATCCATGGGTGAAAATGGGTTACACCAGGCCTGGACAAACTTTTTGACAGATGGGCCGCAATTGTCCTAAAATTGGCCGGGGCCGGGTCAGGAGCAGATAGATGGAGCATTCGTGTGTACTAAGATAAATGACATATAAAGGTCATGCATAAAGGCTAAAATGCCTGGGTATTGCAGGGAAAATACAGAAGTATAATGATAATATAAATAAATGATATAATTTTAAGTTTGCCTATGCCTGTGTTACACCCATCAGTCCACTATAGGGCCACATATGGAGACAAACAACATGTGTCCTCATATCAAAACGTGTGGTCCAGTGAATCTTAATCTCCTGAATGTTTTTGGACTTGAGTACTTGGAGAAAAACACCAAGCCTGCTGAGAGAACATGTTTTCACAACTTTAAGCAGGACATCAAATCAGCACAGGAACTATGTTGGTTTCCGCTGCAACCACAGAGGATTATTAGTGCTTAATAAACACTCTCAACATTTTCTATTAACTATAAGGAAGGATCCAGTAGGTTTGTGTCTGTCAAAGGAACTTTCATCTCTTTTCAACCCACAGTCTTTATCACTAAAGCAAAGACCTTTTGATCTATGGGTTTATATGAGTCAAAGAAATCACTGATCTCAAAGCAACATAGAAGACTGAAATACTAATGATGATGATGATGCTGTTTATTCTAATACTTTAGTATTAGAATAAACATGAGACATGAGTAAATGGTCAAATCCAAAGTTAAAACTCTTAAAAAGTTAACTAAGGTCTGATAACCAAACATAGTATTCCCTCGACATTTTCAAAGTAAAAAAACAAGCTGAAAATAACAACAGGTACAATTTGAAAGGTACAATGATGCAACAGGATGAAAGTGCAACACAAAAAAACAACATGGAAAAAAACAAAACAGATCCAAACAGCTGTGGCCACATCTGTTGTGCACATGTTTCTCTGCTACCTTATGTTTCACACCTGGGGGAAAAGCGGTGGAACAACAGGTGGCTGGAGAACACAGAGGCTACGCTAATGAGCGCTACTGTCACAACTCGTGCATGTTGTGACAAAAGTGAAATTAATTAAAGCTTTGTTGTCGTCTGTCTCTAGCTGCTTCATTGTTTTCCCTCCCATGTCTGACTCCAGTGCATTCCCTTTTCCCTTGACGTGACTTCCTGACAATAAGTCAGACAAACTATTGAGTCACTTTTTGTTGTTAGCAAATTGTTCCTTTGCTTTTTTATTTAATTTAAATGTTATATTATACACTAATAAATATACACTTGCGGTACAAGTACAATCTATTTCACCTGTTTCTATTTGCTCACAATTTACTTTAAATAATCTTACAATCTTATAATTTAACAGCAGGCAGATGGAGATTCACATACTAGAATTTAAGACATTTAAAGATTGAATTTAATTTTTTTTAGGGAACTATCTTCTAGTGACTGGAGTATCACTATGTTGATACTCACAAAGTATCAATTGAATATTCATTAGTCATATCATTACTAATTAATAAAAAAAAGTTCATGTGTCTTTTCCACATCTTTTAGTGTAACTTACTACAAGCAGACTTTTATGCTGCTACACCACCTAGTAAAAGTGAATGGATCAGTTCAGTTTATTTTGTCATGTGACCACTGACCATGAGAGCGCAGTGATCAAGTCCACTAGACATCTTTGACCCTTAGTGGTAGGAACTAAACTGTTTAAGGTACACTGAGTAAAAATAAAATCTATAATTTGTTTTGACTAATGGGGCAGAGGTGGCTCAGTGGTTAAGGAAGTGGACTTGGGTCCGGAAGGTTCCAGGTTTGAGTCCACCACTGAGGTGCTCTGAGCATGGCACCGTCTTTTCTGTTCCCAAGGGGGGGGCATGACAGAAATTATGAGAACCACTGATATGTTATACTGACTAATAAAAGTTATACAGAGAACTAAGTGTGAAATACTTATAGTACCAGGGGCTTTGTGTGAACAATACCAGAAAACATACGTAGTAACTGCATAAACCTGTGAGAAGAATAGGCGCTGAAGTAGTACTTGTGTTTGTTTCCATGACAAAAAGACTTGGAGACAGTAATACCTCAAATATTTACAACAGGAGCTAGGGAAAGCAGTAGGACGTAACAGGAGTTTGGTAAAGTACCATTTACTGTATTTTTTACCACAAGGGGAAGTACAAGTTAATGTATGTCAATGGAAACTAGGGAGAATGAATGGAACTGTACAGAATGTACTGTGTGTCTGGACAATAACTAGTATCAGTGTAAGAAACATAGGATAGTCGTACCGAAATCAAAGCATTTTCCTCACCAGGAAGTAAGTCCATTGTAACCAGGAAACGTGTTTTAAGTTGTATTGTACCTAAGACTCAGTGGGGTCAACCATCAGTTACTCAGAAACACAGGAAAGTGGTCACATTGTACTTTTGTTATTTAAAGCTCTACTTCAGAATGGTTTGTGGGACCTGAAGTGACAGACCAGATCCTTTGACATTGTGTGTGTGTGTGAGATCTCACATGCATTACTGTGTCAATATTCAGGTTGCTTCTGTTGTTGCTACACAAACTCCTCATTTTAATAAGAATCAATTTTGTTGCCAAGTTCATGGAATTTGACTCCATCTTTTTAAAGCTTTTGTTTTTCAACCACTGGACAAAATGTTACAAGTAAACCGGGAAATAAAAATAAAGAAAACTGTGCCATGCCAAGTGCACCGCAGTGGCACCTGGTGGCTGCTGGAGTCAAACCTGTGACCTTCCAGACACAGGTCCACCAGGCCACCTCTGCCTTGTGTGTGATCCTGGTCATGGCCAGTCACGCTGAAAAACAGGCTGATTTCAGCCTTCACAGCTCATTTGCTGATGGCAGTGATCAGCAACTGCTGTCCCGTGGACCGAATGCTGCCCGCCAAACCATCCAATCCGGCCTGTGACTGGATTTCAAAATAAACATCCAGTAATAATCTTAGACAAATATGTTAATATATTTTAATTTCATTTTAGTTGAGTGTCCAGAAGAATTATATAGTATTACTGAGGGAACTCCCAAACAGCAAAAGTTTAAAAACACCGCTCTGAGCAACAGAGGGGGTAAGACGATGTGGTCAGCACTGCCTCTGTTTAACCTTTCCCAGTCACCTCTGTTAAGATTTATCTTAACTAAAATTACCTCTAAAAAGTCTGTCTGATGTCTCTACTTGACGATAAAAAAAAAAAAAAAAAAAATCCTCCCCCTGTCACAAACAGAGAGAAAACTATAAAACAGAACTCCTGCATCAGTGTCACAGGCCAGGCTCTGATATGACAGCTGCAGTTTTAGTCTTCGTCACAGTATTCATCACACAGCCGCCCACAAGATTCAAACGACCTGGGTAACAGTGCTGTTCTCAATCATGAAACAATGAGGAACAGGTGAGTAGTTTTTTGTTATTGTTTTTTGGCTTTCCTGCCATTCACACATTCTGAACAAGCATTTCCAGACTGGAAATGCTTGTGAGTGTGATAATCTGGAATAATCAGGCTAATCTGGAACCTGTTTTCCAACTGCTGTTATTTTGTAACCTTGTGAAACAAAAGTATTTAAATCATGTGGTGATTACAATTTATTCCTGTTTAATTTTACAGTGTGGAAACACCTGATGATGTAACGTGACTAATCAATACAGTAGTGATCAATATCTTATTTCATTATTCCTAATATGGACTCCATTTATTTGTCACAGTTTTCAAATAAAGGCTAATTTGAAGAAATTAAAGAACAAAATTTACTAAACATGTTTACATGAACCATGTGATTTTGAACTCTTTTTCTCTAACAATGAGAAAAATCTGAGGAGCATTTAGGAGTAAATTGACTCGACGAGGCTACGCTAATGACTTATCTGAATTATCCCATTACGGAGCTTTGCAGCGGTGTGTCGTTGGATTGAATGTGACAGTAATAACAGCTGAGGACTGTGACATTAATGCTGATCTTGTCATTTTGTGTCTTCAGATTACCTGGAATGGGGATTTTTTTGATTTGGACTCTCTTTCCTGCTCTGCCTCTCAGTGTCACACTCCTCAGCAGTTGTGTGGCGTATCCTCGGACAGTTACAGTTAATCAGACCAAACACCAATCCATCTGCAGATGTTTGACCACAAAGACTGCTGGTCCTCTTCTCTCAGTAGGAGTGAGTATCAGAGTTTTGAGTTCAGTTTTGTTTTTTGATTTAAATACAATAATGTATCCAAATATTTCATCTGCAGCAGCTGAAAAACCACTCTCTGCCATTGTCAGTGTATTTAACTGTTGTAACGTCAGCTAGCACCGGATTCAGCCGACTGACAAAAACCTTTAACCTGGCAGTAAGACTCCAAACTGAAACATGGAGACAATGAGACCTGCAAATGTATTCACTGAGAGAACCGATGCAGTTTTAGATTTTACATGAGAAAAACAAGATTGATGACAAGAGAAATAAAATCACCTGAGGTGACAAAGTTATAACAAAAAGTATTACTGTTTTTAAATAATTTGAAATGTGTATTCCACAATTTTAAACAATTTAGATTTTATTTTAAAATTGTAAATTGTGGCTGTGATTGCACTGGTACTTGTATTACTTTATTTTTTTTATTTACTTTGATTCCCAGAAATTGAAGTAAATGTTCATAATGTCAATTTAAAGATATCACAATATATTCATGTGGCAGTGGTGGCCCTTTCACTTCCCTCTAGGATATGAGCTAAAATAACAACAATCTAATACAATATAATATTCTACAGCTTCCTCCCACAGCTTCATACTAGAGTAGGTGTTATGTTCAGCAGAACAGTGAAACAAGCAACACCTAAATGCAACACCAGAGACACGGATCAAGTACAGGAGGTTTAATTAGATAGTCTAAAACTCAAATACATCAACTTGCTGAGAATCCAGGCCAGGTAGAAAATAAACAACAGACAGGAATTTCTCTAAAAAAAAAAAACAAAAAAACTCAGGAACACAGGTAAAAGCAACAGCAGGAACAACATAAAGCACAGGACAAACCAGGGAAACTGAACATGAAGCAAGGCATTTAAGGCATTAGACAATCACAGAACAATGAGTGTTCCACAAAGACAGAGTGAGGTGTTTATATACCCAGGGCATCAGGTGACACAGGTGAGACTAACAACCAGGTGAACATTGGACACAGGTGAGAGTGATCACACTGATCACACAGCTGACAGGCAGGAGGGAGGGAGTCAGACAGACCTCAGAGCAGTTTGATTGGACACTATAAACCAGACCTGGGCACAGAGGGCCGCTGTGGCTGCAGGTTTTTCTTCCAACCTGTCCAGAACACACTGACTGACCAATCAGCTGTCTGAAGACTCATGGCAGTTGATTAAATAAGTCAAGACAGGTGTGCTGCTGCTTGGTTGGAACAAAAACCTGCAGCCACCGCGGCCCTTTGTGGACCTAATTGCCTACCCCTGCTATAAACTGACCATAGTCATGAATTTATGCTGTTTGTCTATGTTTGTGGCCATGTGACTGATGGACTGGTCAACTCTCCATGGTGGAACCATGAAAAGGAATAAGCCATAGATAATGGATGGATAATATTACACATATTAAATCTAGTACTATTATAAGTTTTTTCTAAATATTTGCACTAACATCAAACTTTGATCATTCTGTTGGCTGAAATTAAACTAGGCTTGTCTTGTATTTGCCCCCCACCCCCAATGTTTTTTTTTTTTTTTCTTGTAATTTGTAATTATGTTTTGCATTTGTTGTTTCCGCTGACAGATTTCAAACATGACACTGTGTGGGAAAGACATATTTGGCACACTAGCAAGTAAGATTCAAGTTGAACAGATGTAGTGTTTTTATTCAAAAGACCGAATGTATTATTGGTTCAACAGATATTTTTTGTTTGTGCAGGTAAAAAGCAGATAGCGCCCCCTGATGGCAAAGAAGTGGACAAAGTTTTTGTTGCCACTGTGTCCGTGATAGCTATGTATCTGAGAAGAACCAAAGATTCATTAAAGACCGTCAGTGACAGCACAACCCTGATGGTCATGATGTTTCTGATCCTATATATAAACCGTTCGTTGTCATTGACCCAAACCCACCTGCAGCATCAGACACCGCCAGCGATGCCTCGTATCACTACGATAAAACTCTTGTGTACAATGCAGTGGCCAGTCACGGTACTGCTGTTTACCTTCATGCTCCTCTGGCACGTATACAGCTTGTGTCGTATGTGTTGTAAACACTGGACTGAAGATAAGGACTTTGACTTGACTTTAATCTTCTGGGTCTTTTTTACGCCCGTGAAGGTCCTGGCTCTGCTGTCAGCTGTTTTCTTTTCTCTTTCAGGTTGGTTGCAGTCGCTCATGATTAAAATGACCTTTTTCAGTGTCATCATCCATGTGCAGCTGGCCACGCGTGTTCAGAACTCAAGAGCGCCAACAAAGTGTGAACTGGTTATAAGGATTCACAGGCTAACATGACATTCCTCTGTCCTCAGCTGCCATGTCTGGGTTTGGACCAAAACTTAAAAAAAACGTTAAATATACAATTTCAAGGACTAAGTCAGTCTGAAATCTGAGTTATTCTATTCTCATTCTATATTTCTCTCTTGAATGTTCAATAGCATAATCATAGCTTAACATAGTACATAACTGCTCTGCTTTAACACCACTTGTAAATATAAATCTTTAGCAAAGCTGTAATAAAGTGACAAGTTCAACTACTTTTTGTTTGGGTAAATAAACAAGAAAAAAGTCATTAATATTTTTTTTCCTCTTCTTCCTCTATTTTGTAAAACAAGACACTACTGTTATAACTCAATCACTGAAGCCAGAGGCCGTCTAAAACAGATCTAAAGTGAGGTTGTGTGTGTCATTTGTGATAATAAGTTGTGTTGTAAAAAAAAATAAATAAAAAAAAAACAGTTTTTCATTTACTGATTTTGTTTTTGTCTTTGCTCATCTATGCCACAAGCAGAACTATTCCATACTAAATACTTGAAAAAAAACAAAACCTGTTTTTGTTTTTCACACCTTAACCCTGAAAATGTTTTTTCTTTTGTAAAAACAGCCAAATATCCTTATGGGAAATAGAAGTCTACTTCAATTGGCTGACAGAGTTTCACACCAAGAAGACAGACAATTATAAAAGTTCCTGTTCATTTCAGCAGTTGTTGGTGGAGTCACCATGGGTTTGATTGCTATTTTGTTCTTTACACTGATACTGAGGGTAAATTCAAACAACCATACATGTAGAATGATTGGCCAATCAGGATTCATGGAATTTTCTAAAGAAGGTGATTTAATTTTAGCTGGAATTTTCTCTATTAGTAGTACTCGCAAATTGAAGGACAATGGCTACCAAGCATTGCCAGATACATACTGCACCAGGTGAGTCAATATTTGATTTTATTCTATTTGTGTCTGCTAAAATCTCCAGATGTAATTGCTGTTATTGCAGGATGAATGATAGGGAACTGAAGTTTGCCAGGATTGTCATGTTTGCTGTGGAGGAGATCAACAGAGACCCTCAGATCCTCCCTGGTGTCACTCTGGGCTACAGGCTCTACAACGGCTGTGGCAGTGAAAACCTGATTCGAGCTGCAGTTGAAGCGGTGAATAGTGATGAATTTAAGGACTGCACGGGTCAGATCCAGGCTCTTCTGGGCCACTCATCATCCGGAGTGTCCAAGGACATAAACCTCATACTGAGCTCACTGTCCATCCCACAGGTCAGACAGCAGCATTCAACCTCAGTGTGTCGTGTTGTGATTGTCCTGTTTAACATGCAGTTACTGCAGACAGAAAAGTTGGTCTTAAAAAATATAAAGATTGACCTGAGGTACACAGTTATTTGTCTCTGTAAATAACTGTCATGGACAGAGCTATGTATCTCAGTAGCAACAACTCATTTTATTAATAATAGTGTTGTAACTAAGTGAACTTAATTTGTATTAATATGAAAGAGTGATTAATAAGACATAATTAATTGACTTAGATAAATATATTTTAAGATCCCTTTGTCGGGAACTAACCTTAAATAACACCTAATTTCTCTTTTTTATTATTATTCTTTGAATTGACTTGTATGGTTTTTTATATATTGCCACTATTATGCATCCCTGCAAGGGGTTGTGAGTTCCCTGTTGCTGATAATTAGGATATTTATTCATATACATATATATTTTTTGTTCTTAATGTAATTTCTGTAATCTGTGCTTTTTTATTTGCTTTGGCTCCAGTGCTTATTTTTGCCAGATTATTATTTTTTACTTCTTAAATTCTTCCTATTTTCTCACTGAATTAATTGTCATGGTTCCAGATATAGGTCATAGTCCAACAGTTCTTGATTTCTCAACTTGATTTATGTTTGAAATATGAGTAAAAGATTCTCCTTGTTTTTATCATTATGTTCAAGAACTCATTATTTCAGCACCTCAGAGACAGGACTCCTCTCTAAAGAGCAATCCCACCCCCACCCCACCCACAGCTCAACATGTCTTTCTTATAATCCCTTTTTGAAAACCCATCTTAAAATATGACTTTGTTTATGTTGTACACCTGCTGGTATGATGTCACTTCAGGATTAACATTGACATTATTAAGATTTACAGGAACGGTTTAGATATATTCCCCACTTTTGCCTGGCTATCTCATAATTTGCAACATGATGGAATTACTCAGAATACGACTTTATGTATAATTCCAACTTTATACGACTTAAATGTTCAAAATTTAAATATTTATAATTAAAAAGTTGCAGGGCCTTTATTTATCCAGAGCAGGTATTGTAATATTAACAAATACTAATATTGTAGCTCAAGGACAGCTTTGAATTTACCCTTGTTACAACAGGGAAATCATTTGCATGAAAAAATGATCTGTGTTATATATTTATTTATTGATTTAATAACTGCATGCAGTGCAGTGTTGTCACTGACTGCAAGTTCATCCAAGATTTAGGAGAAGGAGCATGTGTGTAATTGTAAATATATATGATGATATATGTATATGTATGTGTGATATATATATATATGTATATATATATATATATACATACAACAAAGTCATAGTTCATATAGTATAGTTCGTATGGAACACTGAAGGACGTCAACATATATATGTACAGTATATATACTGTTTATATATGACTCATCTGTCTATTTGCAGGTGAGCTACTTATCCACCTGTGCTTGTCTGAGCAACAAAAAGCTGTTCCCCACATTCTTCAGGACTGTTCCAAGCGACAGCTTTCAGATCAAGGCCTTAGTCCAGCTCATGAAACACTTTGATTGGCGCTGGGTTGGGATTATTTATACAGTTGGCAGCTACTCAGAAGAAGGTACAGCGCAATTTGTCCAGGCGGCAAAGAAAGAGGGGATCTGTGTCGAATACCATCTGCCGTATTCTAAAACGTCCAGAGTAAAACTGAGGAGAGTTGTAAAGATGCTGAGAGTGTCCACGTCTAAGGTGGTACTTCTCTTTGTGTCCCTGTCTTACACCAAATCATTCCTCTCTGATGTAAAGAAGTACAATATCACTGGGAAACAATGGATTGGCAGTGAGTCTTGGATTACTCAACCAGACCTGGCTTCAGAAACAACGAAACATATTTTACAAGGGGCAATAGGTTTTGCCCTCCCTCGGGCACCGATACCGGGTCTGGCTGAGTTCTTATTCAGTCTCAAACCATTGGATTTTCCAGACAGTACTATTCTGAAAAAAATTTGGGAGAGATTCTTTGACTGCAGCTTTACTCCATCCAACGTCACCACCATGTGCACCGGGAGAGAGGACCTGCACACCGTCTCCAGTGACTACACAGATGTGATGTATTTCAGGCCAGAAAACAATGTTTATATGGCTGTGTACGTGGCGGCCCACGCTCTCCACTCCGTGCTGCAGTGTAACAACAGTTCCAATCCCACTACAGGAAAACCCTGTGTAACCAAGACCCAGGTCCAGCCAAAAATGGTACATATTGCCTTCTATGTCAATTCATGCAGAAGCGTCTACATGAACTGACACTATAATCACTTTTAGGTTATTATATAGGAGTACTAGACACTAAAGATTATATAACCATAGCTACATGTTTTCTTTAAGTTATGCCTAAAGTGTTTGCTCAGTGAATGGCCTAATTTTGTTTTCAGTAATATTCCTGAAACGTACTCTGCTCATTGTTGTGTAGTTTATATAAACTATAACAATGACTATACAGGAGGTCCTCAGTTTACAAAGTCTTTGACCTACAGCGTTTCACGATTATGTCGCCATCTCCCATACATTTATAAGAGCACCTTTCTCCATCATTCCGACGTATGGCATTTAAAAAACCTTCGCACCGCCATTAGTTGGTGGTCGAGTTAAAGAATACACACCATACATGGAAGACTTCTTCGTTTATATCAAACTGTTGCACGTCATACATTGGATTGTGGAACATTTGCTTTCTTGTCTTTATAGCATAAGTTTTGGTGTTACTCTTATTTATTTGTCTTATTTATTCAGTCTTTGGTGAAAAGGTTCTGATGGTTTCCTCTTCAGGTGTTAGAACACTTCAAATATGTCAACTTCACAACACCGAATGGAATCAAAGTGTTCTTTGATGAAAGCGGTGACTCGGCCACTCGCTACGACATGGTCAACTGGCAAATTCAAGAGGATGGCTCAGTGGAAATTGTCACTATTGGGCAATACGACAACTTATTCCCAGATGGTGAAAAATTTAAACTGAAGGATGATGTCAAATTTGTTTGGGGAGGAAACAGTCCTGAGGTGAGAAAGATTATTGTTCTTGTTTATAGTGACCACAACCATTTTTCTATTTAGAGCGAAAGAAGAAAAAACATAAATGTAACCTAAATGCTTTTCAGATGTAATTTTATAACATGACAGTGCATCTTGACGGTGACTTGAATGTGTCCAGGGTTTTTGTGCAAATAAAAATGTGTCTAACAAATATGTAATAGAGCAGTAATAAGTGGATGGATAGAGAAATTATTGGATATTCAGTAATAACATTTTGCCCATCTATTACAAAGTTTTAACATTTTTAAGTGATTTAATTAACATCTACTTAGGTACCAAGGTCTCTTTGTAAAGAACCGTGTCCTCCAGGAACTCGAAAGGCCATAAACAAGAGAAAACCACTGTGCTGTTTCGATTGCTTTGAGTGTCCAGAAGGTACAATAAGCAATCAGTCAGGTAAGTAAGGTTTTTTTTAACTACTGGGCTGTGCAGTCATTGCATTTTAACAATTAAATATAATATGCAACAATACTCCTCAGTGGGGATGGCTCGGTCTGATACTCATGCTCAGTATCATATGTCTGGTATTGGTCAAAATTTTATGATAAAAAACAAACAAACAAAAAAGCTATAGCCCATCTGATACAATACCTAACTTAGCTTTGCACAACAGGCCAAAACCGGGATCTTATTGTGTTATCCTGAAGGACCAAAAAGGTATCAGAATGATATTGGTGTGAACATACTCCAAGATGCAGTATTGGTACCAAACATCACGGAGTTGTATCAAAATAGCCATACTCTTTACCATTTTCTGGTGTGAAGGCTACGGGTTGTGAAACCAACACGTGCATTGATAGTTTTGTTCTCATTCATTAGTTTTTGTGTCCTTTGACCTCAACAGATTCTCTCGAGTGTTTGATCTGTCCACCGGAATTTTGGCCAAGTAAAAAAAAAGACAAGTGCCTACCAAAACCAACTGAATATCTTTCCTACAAAGACATTATGGGAGCTCTTCTAACAGCATTTGGTTGTGTTGGTATATTTTTGTCTCTTCTGGTGTCAATCATTTTTCTCACTCATAAGGAGACTCCTATTGTTAAAGCCAACAACTCCGAATTGAGCTTCCTATTACTCTTCTCGCTAAAGCTGTGCTTCCTGTGCTCTCTGACCTTCATCGGTCGACCCTCGGACTGGTCATGTATGCTGAGGCACACCGCTTTTGGCATCACATTCGTACTCTGCATCTCCTGTGTTCTTGGCAAAACCATTGTGGTCTTGATGGCGTTTCGTGCAACCCTCCCAGGCAGTAATGTCATGAAATGGTTTGGTCCAGTGCAGCAGAAACTTAGCGTTCTATCTTTTACTTTGGTTCAAGTTCTAATTTGTATTCTGTGGCTGACCACCAACCCACCTTTTCCAAAGATGAACATAATGTACTACAAAGACAGGATCATCCTGGAATGTGCCCTCGGTTCGGCTGCTGGATTCTGGGCTGTGTTGGGTTACGTTGGAGTTCTGGCACTCTTGTGTTTCATACTGGCCTTTCTGGCCAGGAATTTGCCAGACACTTTCAATGAAGCCAAGCTCATCACCTTCAGTATGCTGATTTTCTGTTCAGTTTGGATTGCATTCATTCCGGCATATGTTAGCTCACCAGGAAAGTTCACAGTAGCTGTAGAGATATTTGCTATTTTGGCCTCTAGTTTTGGTATGCTGACATGTATCTTTGCTCCAAAATGTTACATCATAATCTTCAGGCCAGAACAAAACACTAAAAAAATGTTACTGGGAAAAATACCAACAAGAACCCTCTGATTTGTAGTTGTACTCATATTTTTAAGAATAGAAATTAAAAAAGTACAATTATGTTCTTTCTTACTGTGTGTTGTTATTAACATTGGATGTATTTAATCCTTCTATTAACACCTTTATTTTCACATTTGATGTATTTATTATTATAAAATAAAACACCAGTTCTCCCTAATGTTGTTATTGTTGTCCATCTCTTTCTAATAACATCTAAATCAGTGGTTCCCAACCCCTGGGTCAATTGGTACGGGGCCGCACAGAAATGATACATAACTTACATTATTTCTGTTTTATTGATTATCTGAATCTGAACGATTTATTTTGGAAAATATACTGGACTCTCTCCACCGCATCTGTCTGACTCATACTTGATACTTGATAAAATGCTTACCTCAGTCACATGTATTCCCTACATCTGCTACCTTCTTCAAAAACCTGCTCCTGCCTATGTTTTCAAAGAAGAAGAAAGCTGCATTTAACAAACATATTCAGGAGTCCTACTTGGATAAAATATGGATTTATTGCGACATGTTTCCACGCACCAAGCCTGCGCTGCATAATATGCGGCGAACGGCGTTGAAGGCGTCCACTTGGAGACCAAGCGTTCAGCATTAAAAGACAAGCACGTTGTTACAAGAACACTGCTAATAAAGACGCATACACGGCAGCTTAACGTTTATTTAAAATGTTACCAGTTTTTATGAAGGTCGTATCATTTTATCAAGGCCGGTCCGAGAAAAAAGAATTTAGACATTTAACCGGTCTGTGGCACAAAAAAGGTTGGGGACCGCTGAGCTTTAAGGGTAGTAACGTTACTTCTGGATCATCTGGATAATGTTAAGAAAAATCAGAATGAGAATCACAATTACTGGAGGTCTCGACTTTCTTGGAATTGTGTTCCCATCGTGTGATGTAACTCAATGTTCACCTTAGGTTGGATATGTAACAACCTTGTTACATGTTTCTTTCATGTGGGTGTGCATACATTTGACTGTGTGTACCAATCAGCTACTGCTCATCCTACTGGGAACTAAATCAAACTTTTATGAAGAGCCAGCACATGTTTCTCAGCTTAGAACTATTTTTATATCTCTTCTCTGAAAATGATGAATAGAAGTGTGCTTTTTTCTCTGGTCCTTTACCTGAGTGTAGCACCGGGCTGCAAACGCATTGGTAAGTTTGACGTGCCTGGTTGGTTTAAACAGGGGGACATAGTGATTGGGGGGATTTTCCCTGTTTATAACAGAGAGGTGGTCAGCATATTCAACTATGAAAAGAAGCCAACGTCTGTAAATTGTGACAGGTGAGTAGATATACATTTAACTGAACAGTGAACAGAAAACCTCAGCTTTTAAAAACTATTTTTACTAAAACAAAAATAACTTTTCCCCAAGGTTTGATCTGAGAGCTTTCAGATGGACTCAGATGATGATATTTGCTATTGAAGAAATTAACAAAGACCCAACCATCCTGTTGAATGTGACACTTGGCTACAGGATCCTAGACTCATGTTCATCCCCAACAAACACACTGCGTGCAGCGCTGACATTGGTCGGAGGACAGGAGGAAAACAATTCCACTTGTTTTCCAGCAGTATCTGCAATTGTTGCCGAGGCAGAGTCATCGCAGTCTATAGCTGTGGCATCAACAGTGGGACCATTTCAAGTACCGATTGTAAGAAACCAGTTCTTCAAGTGAATGCTTGTATTTAATGCCTCTTTTGTTCTGTTTTTCCAAGAATTTCACAACCAGTTGCTACCACCACTGAACCTCAAAACACATTGAATGACCTTTTTTGGATTTCTTATTATCATTACCAGTTGCTAATTGTGCAGTATGGTTCCATGCCTGTATGTGTTCACCAGTGTTCTGTAAAATCTGATGAGAGATAAGGAATCTGGACAGAAGTCATTTTAATGCAAAAAATAATTAGAACAATTTTGAAGAATAAATTAGTAAAACACTCACTTGGTAAATGTGATAAATCATAATTTTATTGCTAGTTGTTTAAAAATAATGAAACAGGTTAAATACTGAATAACTTGATAATTTGAGATACTAATAAATAATCACTGCATTATCAATAATATTATATATAAAATGCAGAGCTACAGATTTCTTAACAGCAACTGTGATGTTTTTCAAATAGGTGATTTAAGAAAATAATTTCTGTGATTTTATTTATATATCTCCTGCCTTCAAAATATATGTATAAATTAATATTGTAGCTGCTTTCCATCTTCAATAAGGCTTTTTTAGTGGAAGTTCAGGTTTTTGGTTCTATTGTTTATCGTTAGTTGTTTTCATTTATTTTTGCCTAATGTAAACAATGAAATAATATTGACAGCTTTTAGGGTCTTCGACAGAAACTGCTACACTTTGAGAATCGACTTCAGGACCCTGTACATATAACACTGCATTTTCCCACATCTGTTACTACAGCTTTCATTGTCTGCCGCTGCAGTAATTCTTTATCATAAATGTAACATGCTGCTGGTTAGCATAAATGTAATCATAAATGTAACATGCTGCTGGTTAGTATAGTTGTTTATTTGTATTCTTTCAGGTGAGCTACTTCTCTACATGTGCCTGTCTAAGTGACAGAACCAAATACCCCACATTTTTCCGCACAGTGCCAAGTGACTACTACCAGGCAAAAGCTTTGGCTGCGCTAGTCAAACGTTTTGGTTGGAAGTGGATTGGAGCCCTACAGGCAGACAACGACTACGGTCGGAATGGAATCCAGGCATTTACCTACAGCGTCGATAAAACCCTGCGTGTTTTGGAAATGATCAAAAAGTCCACAGTTAAAGTCATTTTAGCTTTCACTGCTGAGGGCGACTTTTATCCTCTGATGAAAGAAGTGGTGAAGCAGAACATCACTGGAATCCAGTGGATAGCCAGTGAGGCTTGGATCACATCATCAAGACTCTCCACACCTGAAATGTTTCAGGCCTTTGGTGGAGCTTTGGGTTTTGTGATGCCGAAGATGGCTGTACCAAATCTAAAACCATTTCTGACTAGCATCAGCCCTCATGCTGATTCTGGTGCAGTGTTTGTGAGGACATTCTGGGAAATTATTATGGGCTGTACACCTCATTTGTCTGGTGAAAACTCAACCAGCAGTTTGGATGGTATGTGCACTGGTGATGAAACATTATCAGATTCCCAAGACCCGTTTTTTGACGTCACAGAACTCAGAGTGTCCTACAATGTGTACAATGCCATTTATGCCATTGCACATGCCCTTCATCGAGTAGTATTCTGCAAATCAGTTGGGGAAAAGGCTGAGGGTCCATGTATGAATGTTTCACAGATTGAACCCAAACAGGTGAGGAAATAGTTTTATTTCCTCTCTTATTGATATTAAGAGACACAAGTGGCCTAACCCTCATAACCAACCTTGTGCTTCTTGGCTGATATAATGCAGTAATTCTGAATCATTTTTGTTCTTGCTGACATTAAATAGTAACCATCTCATATTCAATACTCAAACAGTTGTGTTCCAAACTGTATAAACTATTTCCTGCAAAGACATTTTGTCCATTTGGTTGACATAAATGTATTCATTTTCTCAGGTCACTGCTCAGCTACAAAGAGTACATTTTGTAAATACGTTTGGAGACAGCATATTCTTTGATGAGAATGGCGATCCACCAGCCTCCTATGAGGTCATTAACTGGCAGCTGAGAGACGGAGAAGTCCATCATGTATCCTTGGGACATTTTGCTTCTGCTGTTAATGGCGATTATAAACTCAGCATCCTGGAGGAAGAGATTGTTTGGAGGACAGGAAAAAATGTAAGATTATTGAAAGGCTAACTCATTTTGTATTTGTATTAAATTTGTGTAACATTTGTGTTACTTAAGTACTGGCTCCAATGTCTCCTCAGATTCCCACATCTGTTTGTTCAGAAGTTTGTCCAGTGGGAACAAGAAAAGCACAGATCAAAGGAAAACCCATTTGCTGCTTTGAGTGTATTCCCTGTGCAGAGGGTTCAATAGCTAACATGACAGGTAAACTACATTCAAATGCTTGGAGTGCAACAGTTAAACAGGATCAGGGTTGTGGTTTGGTGATGGCACGGAAGACCCAAATGCACCATTCAAGCATTCTTCAGATGCAAAAGGTTTATTAAGAAAGTTTTAATATAAATTCAACACAAACACTTTGGGTAAACAGGGCCGAGTAGAAACAACAGCAAAAGCAGACATAAATCAGGAACAGAAACAAAGCACATCACACACTCACCATGAGCAACCCTAATGACCAATAACCCCACAAAGAGAGAGTGCAGGAGAGAGGTATATATATAGACACAGGACACCAGGTGACACAAGTAAGACTAATGACCAGGCAGTCACTGGACACAGCTGAGTGTGATTACACTGACGATCCCTAGAGCAGATGGGCGGAACAGTGAGACAGAAAGACCACACCGTCAGTCTACTAATTATGTATTAAATATAGTTCATTTTTTACTAGATAATGTGGTGTTCATGTTGTATTTTTAAATGCAGGTGGAATTTAAACAGTAAACTGAGAAGAGCTCTTTCTATCTACTTAAAGTATCATCATCCCAGCTGGCTATAGTGACCACCACTTTGTTTAGGGTCTTAAAGCTCCATATGGGTCCGTACTAGGGATGGCTTGATACCAATTCTTCATGTCCGATAGCGATACTGCAACTTGGAGTACCTGCCGATGCTGATATCAATCTGATACCTTGTCTTCTCCTCAAGCATGTTGTGGGCTGCTGTTGCTGAAGTGTTAGTGACCCTGTTTTACGGCATGCTAAGTTAAATTGAGCATTTGGGCAGACGGAAGGACTATAGTATATTTTCAATATTCGATCCTGAAATTTTGACCTGCTTGACAGAGTTCCCTAGTGAGATTTGTATTAATGCCATGTGTTGGAATGATGGAACAAGACTTGCTTGATAAATGTATAGGAGATGGCCATGTAACAACACAGTGTCATAGGACAAAGCCGAGAAACCCCCTACACTACATTTGAATATTTAGACACATTACATGTTGTATTTTTGTTTGTTTGTACCAAATTTATAAATCTTAGAAAATTGGTAAATTTTAAACATGGGTGTAATCTTTTCAACAACCACCAGGTTTTCTTCAACATTTTTTTTATTTTTATATCTTTTACCTCTAACTTGATTCCTTCAGGTGCAGTAGACTGTGTGCCGTGTCCTGTGAAGTTCTGGTCCAGTGATAAGAAAGATGAGTGCATTCCCAAAACAGTGGAATACCTGACATACAATGAGCCAATGGGCATTGTCATCACTGTCCTGTCCTTATTAGGAGCCTCACTGTGTCTGATCACCATGGTGATTTTTATCAAAAACAATCAAACTCCTGTGATCAAAGCCAGTAATGCACAGCTTAGTTGTTTTCTCCTGCTCTCCTTGGTCCTCTGTTTTCTTAGTCCCCTCACTTTCATTGTGACACCCACAGTTTGGACATGCATGCTTCGACACACAGCTTTTGGACTGACATTTGCTGTCTGTATCTCCTGTGTTCTGGGGAAAACAATTGTTGTTGTCCTTGCTTTCAAAGCAACAACTCCTGGCAGCAAAGTTGCCAGACAATTTGGTCCCAAACAGCAAAGAATCATTGTGTGCGCCTGCACTTTCATTCAGGTTGTGATAATAATATTGTGGCTAACATTAAATCCTCCATATCCAGACATGGTTTTTCAACACAGCACAAAAAAGATCCTCTTGGAGTGTAACACAGGATCTGAGGCTGCTTTCTATGCAGTGTTGAGTTACATAGGGTTCCTCGCTGTCATCTGTTTGGTCTTGGCATTTATAGCCAGGAAGTTGCCAGACAACTTTAATGAAGCCAAGTTCATCACCTTCAGCTTGTTGATCTTTTGTGCAGTGTGGATCAGCTTTATTCCTGCTTATGTCAGCTCTCCTGGGAAGTTTACTACTGCCGTTGAAACCTTTGCCATTTTGTCTTCAGCCTTTGGACTATTTATTTGTATCTTTGCTCCTAAATGCTACATTATATTAATCAAACCAGAGAGAAACACTAAGAGACTTGTGGCCAAACATTAAAACAACACAATGCAATAGTTTGTGAGGTAAGTTACCATTAAATAGACATGGACAGCAAGGTGACCTTTATGAAATGGGTAAAACATAAGAATCTATGTTGGAGAAGAAATGTTCTTTTCAACCTATTTTAGGGGCATTTTTTGGATATTTAATAATCATTTTCATGTTGTCAATGTTTCACCAAATGTTACATCTTCATCTTTACAGCCATTTTATCATACTTTGACAATTTTCTACAGCAATAAAACACATTGGATGACTACTACCTTTTTCTTTGAAAGCTTTATCCTTTTGTGATAATCTTCACAATCGAAGCAAAACACAGACTAACATTCAGTGCAACTCATCCAGGAAGACAATATACCAACGTTGGACAGTAGACACGTGGATTGGAAGGTATCGCCACATCTTGCCAATAGAACAAATGTTGGCTCTAGGTAAAACCATCCACAGTCATCTTATGTAATGCCTTGTAAAGCATCTTTGACAACAACTTGCTCACCCAAGGAACTGTGAAATGGAGGCTGCCAAAACGTAGATGATTAGATTTTTTTAGCATAGCAAACAAAAAGGGAGTCCCACCCGTGTTGTAACCCCGAGCTTACTTTGAACCCATCAGACTGACAGCACAACTAACTACTCGCTGGCCCCATACATGTCCTGCACCACCCTCACATATTTTTCTGCCACTCCTGACTGTCTCATAAAGTTCCGCAGTTCCTCCCATAGCACCCTATCAGTTGTTGTCTCTCAGTCCACAAAGACATGCACAACTGCCATGTCTTTGCCTCAAGGGTGTAGTGGATGTCAGACCACAAACTCTGTTGTTATGACTATGTATGAACTAAAAGGCAGCCTTTCTATACAAAGTCAGCTAAAGATAACAATAACATGAACCAAAGAAATCATTAATAGTTGCTTAATTACTTTATCACACTGACATTAAAGAGAAAGAGTTGAAAGTGAATCAAATAACATTGTTAAAACACAATTTCCTGAGTCGCTAATAGAAATCTACAGCAACAGCTTAATACATTAAAATTATAAAACAATTTAATTTATTTGTAAAGAAAAAACCTAATTTCTTTAATATATATTTTACAAAATAAAACAAAAACATTGTTACATGTTTTGTTTTTTTTCATGTGGGTGTGCATACATTTGACTGTCTGTACCACTCTTACCAATCAGCTACTGCTCATCCTACTGGGAACTAAATCAAACTTTTATGAAGAGCCAGCACATGTTTCTCAGCTTAGAACTATTTCTATATCTCTTCTCCTAAAATGAATAGAAGTGTGCTTTTTTCTCTGGTCCTTCTTTACCTGAGTGTAGCACCGGGCTGCAAACGCATTGGTAAGTTTGACATGCCTGGTTGGTTTAAACAGGGGGACATAGTGATTGGGGGGATTTTCCCTGTTTATAACAGAGAGGTGGTTAGCATATTCAACTATGAAAAGAAGCCAACAGCTGTAAATTGTGACAGGTGAGTAGATATACATTTCTCTTTGAGTGAACAGAAAACCTCAGCTTTGCACAATTTAAAAACTCTTTTCTTCACCAAAAATAACTTTTCCCCAAGGTTTGATCTGAGAGCTTTCAGATGGACTCAGATGATGATATTTGCTATTGAAGAAATTAACAAAGACCCAACCATCCTGTTGAATGTGACACTTGGCTACAGGATCCTAGACTCATGTTCATCCCCAACAAACACACTGCGTGCAGCGCTGACATTGGTCGGAGGACAGGAGGAAAACAATTCCACTTGTTTTCCAGCAGTATCTGCAATTGTTGCTGAGGCAGGATCATCTCAGTCTATAGCTGTGGCATCAACAGTGGGACCATTTCAAGTACCAGTTGTAAGAAACAAGTTTTAAAGTTAATGTTTTTTTAAAATTACTTTTTAGTTTACTATACTTTCAAATATGAATGTCATGAGTTGTGCTGATTACCTCTAAACCTCAACACAATTTATATATAATTTACTGTCTTTTCAGTTGCAAATTCTGCAGTATTGTTCTGTTGTCTGTGTGATTTAAATGTATCTGTGAAATCTGATGACAATTAGACATTTAAAGCCAACAGTTGAGCAAAATGAAATCATACACAGATAAGTACTGTAAAACAAATGTTGCTCATAATTAAAAAAAGTAACAATTATGGATAAGGAAATACTGAAACAGGGTTTCACATTTTCACAAAATCGCCAGTGTCATTATTCCAACTTATTGAATTTATATAATCAACTGACCACTTAGGTAGAAGTTACAATCCAATGTAAATTTGATGTAGATGTGAATAGTAGTGAACATTAGGTATTTTTTGAGAGCTTGCTTTGATGTAATGAAATGACAAAATATATACTGTATTTACAGTATTTATGCATTCAAAGCATTTTTCTATACACTGTTATGCCTTGCAAAACAATTATTTTTGCATAAAATGAAATATTACAAATTTCCCCATACCAAAAACAAGAGAGGAAGAGTTTGCAAATCTGAAATCATTAGAAAAAATGTTTGTTGAAGATGTGATTTAAATAACAAAGTATATTTTTTAAGTAATATTTCCATGAATATTTTTCTTTTTATTAGTAGTAACATGCTGTAATCTTCTGTAGATTGATATGACTTTTATATTTTATCAGGTGAGCTACTTCTCCACTTGTGCCTGTCTAAGTGACAGAGCTAAATATCCAACATTTTTTCGCACAATACCAAGTGACTACTACCAGGCAAAAGCCTTGGCTGCACTAGTCAAACGTTTTGGTTGGGAGTGGATTGGAGCCCTACAGTCAGACAACGACTACGGTCTGAATGGAATCCGGGCATTTAAAGAAGAAGTCACAAAGCTTGGAGTTTGTATTGCATTTGTTGGAACAATCAAACGCACCTACAGCGTCGATAAAACCCTGCGTGTTTTGGAAATGATCAAAAAGTCCACAGTTAAAGTCATTTTAGCTTTCACTGCTGAGGGCGACTTTTATCCTCTGATGAAAGAAGTGGTGAAGCAGAACATCACTGGAATCCAGTGGATAGCCAGTGAGGCTTGGATCACATCATCAAGACTCTCCACACCTGAAATGTTTCAGGCCTTTGGTGGAGCTTTGGGTTTTGTGATGCCGAAGATGGCTGTACCAAATCTAAAACCATTTCTGACTAGCATCAGCCCTCATGCTGATTCTGGTGCAGTGTTTGTGAGGACATTCTGGGAAATTATTATGGGCTGTACACCTCATTTGTCTGGTGAAAACTCAACCAGCAGTTTGGATGGTATGTGCACTGGTGATGAAACATTATCAGATTCCCAAGACCCGTTTTTTGACGTCACAGAACTCAGAGTGTCCTACAATGTGTACAATGCCATTTATGCCATTGCACATGCCCTTCATCGAGTAGTATTCTGCAAATCAGTTGGGGAAAAGGCTGAGGATCCATGTATGAATGTTTCACAGATTGAACCCAAACAGGTGAGGAAATCAATTCTTTAAAAAGCTTCTGGGCATTATAGCTTTAATTTTTCAAGAAGAAATTTGGTAAAAACAAGTGGTCAAAACTTTATGACCAACCTTGAGCTTTTTTTTGCTGAATAAAACACTGCAAGTATTATCGGCTCATTTTTGTTCTTCCTGACTCTCACCTCTAATGATCTTTATTGCTTTTGTTTTTTTGCTATTTAAATAAGACCTTTGTGGACTCTAGTATTCCACTGGTTCTAAATGCAAAGCTTTAATTGAGCTGACCTCTGACATCTCTTTTTGGAAAAGGGTGAATTTTAGGTTTCATAGACAGGGGCAAAACAATGGTGTGTGTGTCCTAAAACATGTAGGACCAAGAGAAGCCATCAGATCTGACAACAGTTTAGCAGGTTGTAGCTGTCAGTCTATACCAAGAATGGCTACCCAGCCCCTTCCAGTTATTTCCTCTATTTCTCCAGTGCCAGCACCATCGCCAACGGCTTACAGTTACAATAATCGTAGATTCTCTGAGCAGGAGAAAAGGCACAGGAGTGCATCTTTTGATCTACAGGGTGTTGCCGTCAAAGGACACCTTTCAGACCAGAGCCTCAGGCATTCATATCCATCCTAAACTGCCTTCAGGTATTAGACAGAGCTGAACAAAGATTTCAAGCATGTGAACGAGTCATCCAGTAGTTCAGCAGTAACGAGAGGGGGTAGAAGTAAGGCGAGTGACAGGAGCAGCTATAACAGCTTGGCTATAATCTCTAATAATGCACCAGAAAATGCTGGAGTTGTTCGAAAGAAGTTGGTGTTGGTGACATTGTTTGGACTTGACAAAAGATTTATTCTCTAGGAGAAGACTTAAAACCATCCTCACAAGCCAAACATGTTTCTTCAGGTTTAAAAATAAATCAGGCCATCAAGGAACTCAGAAATGAAACAAGTCAGCACATCCCTGGGGATGTCAATGACCATTGTCTGTGAATCGTCAAGGGTGTTGGTGAGGCTGAAAGGCATAACTAGATATTTGAAATGGTCAAGAGGGTGATGAATGTCCTCTTCCATTCACATGCTTTCCTGATTCTGTGTAGGAGATAGACATTGCTATGATTTACTTTGGAAAAGACAGTGTCATTGTGAAGATGTTAAAAAATATTGAGT